CCCAGCATCTTATCCCAAGATCGGTTGTCCATGAGCCACTTTCGGGTCACGTAGCCACCGGACGTCTTGTTGCTCTTGATGCGTTCAGTCCACTGACTCACAATGCACTCGACGGACGAAAACGAGCCGTGCTTGAGAAACAACAGTCGCAGTTTCTCTCCTGAGTTTGTTCGGGTGCGGTACTAGCAAATGCGACAGTCTGATACCGGAGTTACAGATAGGAAGCTGCCATCCTTCGTGTTGGCCAGCTCAAGCACCTCCTTCGTGCACTTGGGCTCGCCCCCCTTCTCCGGCTGCAGATACCGGCGAACCCTTGGCAGGGCAAGGATATGATCACACATATATATATATATATATGCATGTATACATGCACGGTACACATGCATGCATGTGTCGTGCTAGCATATATATAAATGCAGCAACGATACTTCCAGTAGCCTTGATTCTTGGGCTGTTGGGAAGCCAAAGACTGTGCGGATCTCGTTCGCTGCAAAGACGAAGCAGGCACAAACCCTTTTCGCACGTTTACGTTGGGGCTCGTCTTTGTGGGGCTCGTCTTTGTGGGGCTCGTCTTTGTGGGGCTCGTCTTTGTGGGGCTTGTCTTTGTGGCGCTTGTCTTTGCTGGGCCTGGCACGGGGGTCGTGAGAAGGCTTCTTGCAGGGGAGTCGGTTTCGGTCGGGGTCGGTACGGGCGTGGGCGTGCCCTGGCCTTTGCCACGGTTGCTTTTGCAGGGGGTCATCAAATCTATCGGAGCGAACAGCTCGAAGCTTGGCTGGGTCTCCAATTTGGACGATTGAGCCAGCATCTCAATCGTGTGGCTTCTCTCCACAGCAGGAGCCGGATTGGCAGCGGCTGCTCCTGCATGCATGCATGATATATCATTATATATTAAGTACGTACAGCTTGCATGTCCTTCACGAACACAGGCGAGGGCGGTATTCAAGTTCTCGTTGGTCTCCAACAGCTTTTGTTGCTGAGCTTGCGATCTTTCCAGGGAAGCTTCAAGCTCTGCCATCCGGGCTCGTGAAGCCTTAATGCACAATGCGTGTCACAAGTTAATAAATGCTCTTGATGCAATGCAGCCATGCAACCCTGATGCGAGCTTCAAGCTCGGCCTCACTCATCGCATCCATGACGATTCGCAAGTGCCGTTCCTAGCCCACTCCATACACGAAGCCCAAAATCTGCGATTGCATGCCTGCCACATACGGATCACCTGCTGCTGGCTGTCATGACCACAAAAACATGCGTTAAATGTGATTTGTATGAGCGACGAAGTGCCTAAAGTTATGTTTTTTAATTTGCGTGCGTGTTGCTGGGATTTGCGTGCGTGTTGCGGGTTATTGCGTGCGTGTTGCGGGGTTTCGGGCCCACCTATAAATCCCAAAAACCAAAAAACATGCAGAAAAAAAAAAAACATTAGTGCTGGGGCCTTCCGGGGCCTTTTGGGGCCTCTTGGGCCTGTTGGGGCTTCTGCACACCTTGTCGGGCCTTGTGGGGCCTCTTGGGGCCGCTTGGGGCCTGTTGGGGCCTGTTGGGGCCTCTGCACACCGGGAGCCTGGTGCTTGGGCTTGGTACTAGCTTGAAAGGGAAAGAGGGAGAGAGAGAAAGAGAGCTAGAGAGAGGAGCAGAATTGCTAGAGAGACTTTGGCAGGTCTACACTGAAAAACCCACAAAACCTAGCCTATAACCCCCAGACCTGTCAAAAACCCGGCAGGAGACTTCGCCGTTTGTGCGACTCGCCAGCCAGCGGCCAGGTTTTATCGGATCGAACTCAAGGGTTTAGGGTTAGGGGCTAGGGTTAAATTTCGCTTCAGGGTTTAAACCTACCATGTACTATATATATATATATCTGTTTATATATATATATGTATATATACACCTATGCATATATATATATATATATATATATGTATCTCTCTCTCATATATATATATATATATATAGACATATCTATATATATATATATATAGAACCAGGCCTTTTTAGGGTTCAAGGGGTTTAGGGTTTAAGGTTTTGGGTTTGGTCTCCGTAGGATTCCGCCCCTGGGACCACAGAAGGAACCAGGCCTTTTTAGGGTTCAAGGCAACCCCCTTCTCCCTGGCCGGGAGAGGGGGGTTGCTTTTAGGGCTTTTTGAGGGAATTCTGCCTCTCGCAAGGGGTTTATATATGTATATAGATCGATATAGATAGATAAGTATATATATATATATATATATATACATATTAGGCTAGTAGCTATAGTTCTGTTCACAAGAGAACGGGCTCTTCACCTGGGCGGTGTAGGGTTTGTAGCGACGACTACTACCCCGTACTGTGCTACCTATAGTACATCCACCATTACCCTAAACCCGTGGCGGCCGGAGCTCGGAACTATTCGTTCCATATGGATAGCATTCGAGGACTTATCCTCGCGGAGTTGGGCCTTGTTTGGGGCAAGCTTGGGGCCTGCATGTGATGTGGGTTTTATCTGGGGTTTAGGGTTTGGGCTCGTGAGTTCTAGCGGACTTAAGGCTACCCTGTATTGCTTTAGCAGAAGCTGAGCAATCGAGGCATTGCAATTGCCCAAACAAGTCCCATATTGAAGTCTCGATCAGGGGTGCTAGTGCTGTCGAGTAATATAGTAAATTATTATCGTGGCAGCAGCATGAGCACTAGTTGCAGCGGTAGTAGCGGTAGTGGTACTGACCCGGTGGTTGGTGGTGGAATGCTTGTTGCTTTGGTCATGCTTGCATGTGGTAGTGGTAGGTAGTGGTCGTGGTACGGTAGTGGCAGTGGTGTGCTTGTGGTTGGGTAGTGCTAGCATACTGCATGGTAGTGGCAATTGTATATACTAGTACACTAGCTAGTATATAGTTGAGAAGCTGCCCCCACCCTGTAATAGTGACCATATAAGGATTATATTCATACTATAGGGCCCTATTATATTCCTATTATACCACTATCACTATTACAGGGTGGGGGCAGCTTCTAATATATATATATAGTATATGTATGCGTATAGCAGCAGGAGTAGTACTCAGTTGCAGCAGCACCGGCCACACTATGTCGAAACTCAAAACACATACCGAAAGGACCTGTAGTCTCAAAGTGTTGCAATATCGAACGGCTCACATGCGTCGACATACGAGCACTTCTACACTGTGCTTTGCTTGTAGTCTACATATACTAGACACCCCTAGGCCCTAGGCTATATCTATACGGTAACAAATTAAATAACCCCATGCTGCAGGTCTCACACTCCGTGCACGTGCCGGTCCACAGGCGTTGCATTCCTGCGGCTGAGGTTTATATAGGGTACGGATGTATGGGGATTTCGGAATGGGTGGCTTTTGGAGGGCTTGAAAGGCTCCTAGCGTGTGCGGGTTTTGGGTTTGGGGTTTCGGTTTTTTGGCCTGTAGCTTTAGGGTTTGTTTCATGGAGGTAAACAGACAGGTTTAGGCTCGCTCGGGTTGGCTTCTATTGCATGGTACGAGATCTCAGCTCTTATATTGTGCATGGCGGATAATTGCCACCAGCTACCGAACGTTTCGACTATATACGTTGCAGAGTGGAACCTCGCTGCCCTTTATAAGGTTTAGGATTCTAGGGATTTAGCGGTTTATTATAGGTTTGGGGTTTATATTATAAGTAACATCCTGAATTTTGACCCGGACCCGATCGACCCGACTCAATTACAATTCATCCTCGATCGGACTCGCCACAGAGCCCATAGCCGAACTTCATGATTCTCCTAGGATTGCGGGAACGAGTGCATGAACCCTGGCCCCTTGCAAACACACCGGTCGTGCCAAGCTGCTGCTTCCGTATAAAGCAGGAGCGTGACACCGGTCGATTGGAAACCTGCAGGAAAGCGTTGAGCAACGGGTGTTTGGGAAAGTTTGGGATCGAGTACTTATTAGCTGAATGCATTCTCGCTCACAGGGCAACCAAGCAGCTTTGAGGGCAAATAAAATCGAGAAGTCGGTACGGTGCCATTGCAATGCACACACTCACTCTTCAGCCCAACACTACAAACGGTGCTGATCAGCTGCATTTCACACATACCAGCACAGCACAGGCACAAACACAGCAGGGCGGGCGGGGTGTACCCTCAACTCCTGATCGTGCTGCACGACGGAATGCCATGCCAGGTCGCAGAAGTCCAGTTTCGGAATCCAGGAGGTCGAAGAGGCACCTCCGGTGTAAAGTTGGAGCAATTATGGATCTTATGGCTTGAATCGGAGTAGAAGCGACACTATACTTGATAACCATATATAGTATACAAACCGGCTTCAGGCTTAAGATTTTTGTAACGTAGCCGAGACATCGATCTATGCGATCTTTAATTGGATCATCGCGAAACTGCAGCAGGAATCTGGCATGCTAACCGCCCATAGTCTCCCGCCTGCACTGCTGAAGCAGTGCATGTAGATTTCAGCAGAAGTACCTGCACGATGTGTGCATGAAGGCTTCGGTTACAGTAGCTTTGGGGGGGTCACATGTACACCAGCTTCTTGAGATCCAACAGCAGGAAGACCTTGAAGTAGTCCTCCACGTACCAAACACCTGGCCAATATGTGTAAGTCTCACACAGCTAGACCATGCCGACAGGAAGCTTTGTGTGGCACATCCGCTCTACCACTCTATTCGAAATGCACATCAGCACTTTTGCTGCCAGCTCTCATTCGGACTGCGGTGCAGCGATCGTTGTCAAGCTCGCGTGCACACTGCTAGGCTCAGGATATGGAACATGTGCACTTTACAAGGCCCGTCTCCCCTAGGCCTGTGCAGGCCCAAGCTTTTGCAGCATGCGAAGTTGAGTGTCACCCCTCAACGTACCATGAAAACTTTCTTCGGCATAGAAAAAGAGGCCAACACATGTGGAAGCACACAGATGACCCGGGGCAGCGGTCACCAGCATTCAGTCCGTGTTCTTGTATGCCTTAGATAGTGCTCGCACAGAAGACAGCTGATTGTACACATGCACATAACCATGGCAGTGAACATCGATCACTCCATCATGTGACATAAAACATGCAAATAATGCAAGATACCTCCTGTGCCTTCTTCTTGGCTTCTTCATCACTCAAACCGCTTTTCAGAGCGGCGTTCTTTGCACTGTGGTATGCCTTGCTTTTGCGACAGTTTCGCATCCGCCGTTCCTCCAAGATTGCATCCCGATCTGTCTCCTTCGTTGCCTGCTTCTTGTTAGCCTTGGGCTGCGGCTCCTCCTCCTTTGCTCCCTTCTTCTTGTTGGCTTTGGGCTGTGGCTCCTCCTCCTTTGCTCCCTTCTTCTTCTTGTTGGCTTTGGGCTGTGGCTCCTCCTCCTCCTCCTTTGCTGCCTTCTTCTTGTTGTTGGCTTTGGGCTGCGGCTCCTCGTCCTCCCCTGTTTCCTTCGATCGCTTCTTCTTACCGGCTTTGCTGTGTGGCTCCTCGTACTCATCCGCCTCCTTTGCTGCCTTCGATCCTTTCTTCTTGGGGGCTTTGGGCTGTGGCTCCTCGTCCTCCCCTGCTTCCTTCGATCGCTTCTTCTTACCGGCTTTGGGCTGTGGCTCCTCGTACTCATGATCCGCCTCCTTTGCTGCCTTCGATCGTCTCTTCTTGGGGGCTTTGGGCTGTGCCTCCTCGTCGTCCTCCATTGCTTCCTCCGATGGCGCTTTGGGCTCTTCTGGATCATCACTATCGCTTGCTTTGGGCTTCCCCTTACCCTTACCCTTTCCATTCTTCTTTCCCTTTCCTTTTCCTTTGCGTGTCTTCGGGGCTTCGGCATGCGGCTCATTCCTCACGTCGCGTGCGTGCTTTGCCTGCTCCTGTGGGGACAGCACGGGCAGCTCTCTCACACAAGCAGGCTTCGACACAAGCTCCACCTCCTCGCTAGGAGGTGCTGTCTCCTGCTCCGGCTTGCTCTTTTTTCCACCTTTGCTGATCGAAGCTGGCTCGGCCGCTTCCACCTCCTGGGGTGGGGTGGGCTCCTGTGCTACCTTCTGGGGCGGCTCCTCTGCTACCTCCTGGGGCGGCATGACTGGTTCCTGCTCCTTTTCAGAACTTAGCACAGCTTCGTTCGGACTCAGGCACGGGGTCCCAGGCTCGTCGTCGGTCACAGCTTTCACCAGTTGGGGCAGTGGGACAGGAACATCCATATCATCACTATCGCATCGACCCTCCATGACTCGCGTTCGGGCCTGGAAGTATGGGACCTGGGGGGGCTCCTCATCATGTGCCTGCTGCAAGTGCACATGCTCCTCAAACTCTCGAACCTGGATCATCGCTTCCTGCAAGACCGCTTCCGCGTGTGCAGGCTCCATATCGGCAGCGTCTCGGTCTGGTCGATATTGCCTGAGTTGAAGCTCTATGGGATTGGTGGGCACGGTTTCGTTATGCATGATATATGTTGCATGGCTATTAATTCAAGCGTAGGTGCTGCCACATGCCCCAGCAGCTGAGGCGGCTTTCGATGCTTCAAGCTTTCGCTTCTTAAGCAGGAGCAACTCTAGCATCTCACACTCTTCGTTCAAGGCATCGAGCATGAGCTGTTTCGTGCGGCGTGCACATGGCTGCTTCTCATCGGTTGGGGTTGGGACTCCTTCTGAAGGCTTGTTGCATGGCGACGGGGTGTGCAAAGCGGATGGTGCGGGGACTTCTGATGGCGGCGAAGGGTCCGGCAAATCGGCCGGCCTGTGTGGCGAAGGAGTCGAGGCGGCTGTGGTAACCGAATCACCTTGGATGGGCGTCCGATCGATCTGGGAAGTTTGATGCACATAATGCTTCGAGTATAATGTGTACAAGGCACTGGTCAGGGTACGGTGCGGATGCACGTGGAAGGCTGCTGTCGGGACTGCTTCAGCTGCTGCGTCGCTCACAACGGCTGTTGGCTCACCGCTACCAACTGCATCCGGATCCACAAGCTCATCTTCGCTTAAACATTCTTCTTCATACTCTTCTTCAGCACCGTCATCCTCCTTAGCTTGCATAAGTATACTATACACGAGCACATGCATGCATATCACAAACACACATGCGTAAGACCCATCCACAAAACTCAAGCCCTGAGCCCGAAAGCCCGTTAATGAAATTCCGCACAATCCGTCGATCAGGCTTCGGCTTCCTCTTCGGCAGTGGTTGGCGATCGACCTGCACCGAGGAGATCGAATCTATGGGGTTATAGATAGGTTTTACTTAGCCAGGGTTTTGGAATTAGCCGTTAGCCCCCTTATCCCATTTATTAAATTCCGAACCCAGACCCTTAATTATAGATATATTAAGAAAATAGAAGCTCCTAGGGAACCAGAAAAAGGGCAATATCCGCAGTCCAAGCCCCAAGTCCTAAGCCATAATATACCTCAACTTATGCGTGCATAATACGACCGGGCCTTCAGGAACTTTGATGCCCACCATTTCGTAGATCTTGATGATATTCGCTTCCCTAGGCCTGTGAGGCCTCTTCGCGATCGCACAAAACATGGTAATCAAGTTCCGCACTCGCCAAGCTGCGTTTTTGCAGAAGTCGCCTCAGCTATCGATCCCTATTCGAATATCTATGCTTTAGGGGCTTCCTCTAACAGTAACTCTTTATAGGGTTCTTGAACAGTTATTGGTGGTAGTTGAACAGTGGTAGTTGAACAGTTAATTGGTGGTAGTTGAACAGTTAACTTGGTGGTAATTGAACAGTTAACTTGGTGGTAATTGAACAGTTAACTTGGTGGTAGTTGAACAGTTAACTTGGTGGTAGTTGAACAGTTAACTTGGTGGTAGTTGAACAGTTAACTTGGTGGTAGTTGAACAGTTAACTTGGTGGTAGTTGAACAGTTAACTTGGTGGTAGTTGAACAGTTAACTTGGCGGTAGTTGAACAGTTATTGTGGTGGTAATTGAACAGTTAGTTGGGCCGTCATCTGGGGTGGCAACTGCACAGTTTCAAGTAGTTCAGGGTACTTGAAAAGTTTATGGGGTGGTAATTAAACACTTTCTTGGGTGGTAGCTGGTAGCTGAACAGCTAATAATGCAGAAATCAATGGCCAATTAGGCTGAATGATTGGTCGACTTCCGGTGTCATCTCAAATCTCAAACCTTTGGAATCAATCCGACATCCCTCGAGATGAGTGCCTGCATGATGCGGCCGACGTGCAATTTCTTCTTCTCCATCGGTTGCAAGCTTTGTAAAGAAGGAAGCAGGCACGGTACTGTACGCCCGCCACAAGATTGGCAGATGCAAGTGCCACGAACGTCCCAAACAGCTCGAAACTTGATCTGCTTGGCGAGCCCTCGAAGTATCAGAATCATAATCATTATGGTTTAGTGGCGGTCAGAGGAGTACGGATTACGAGATATTCGGGTCTCTCTTTGTAGATGGCCTGCTGGGAAACTCTGTATTTATGGGAGGGCTGCTCGTGAGCGTATGTTCCCACGATTTCGGGATAACGTCGTCAATTCTCAGCCTAAGCTGAAACCCCTTAAGCCACATGAAATACTAAAGAAAATTTGTATAATTTATACCTATAGTCTCCATTGCAGTTCCTTTTTTTGGTTAACCAAAAACTCTATTATAGGATCCTAACCATAAAACTGGGTAACCAAAAAAAGGAACTACAATGGAGACTATAGGTAATTTATAAGTTGTAATGTATAACATAAGCCATAAGCTATTCTTAACTTTTCTCGGGAGGAAAGCCTAGGGAAAGCTCGGATCTTTTTGTGGGCAGCCTAGTTGGTGACACGATTAATTTGGGAGGAATGCCTAACTTATGCTATTTCCCTGGAGGGCTCGTGCCAAAGAGGGATCATGACTCTAATTAGTCATCCTTACTGTGTCGGCTTTCCGGCCAGAACAGCAGTGCAACGACGATTCAACACAGAATGCACTGGCCATCCGCGCTTTCGGATGCCAGTGTGAGCCCGGCTAATCAAAGCCTGCCTGGTCTCGCCGGTTTTCAGGGTGCGACAACAGGCTTGGGCGATTGTTGCATTTGCTACTGCAGACTGAATCACTCCAATCGTGAAAGAATCCTCTTTTTTGGACTCAGAATTCAAAGAAGCCTTTAGCTCTTCGATGGTGACCTTCGAATTCCAATCCGAAACCATGAAAGCTTTCAGCTCCTGTATGCTCGCATTTGCCGCTTGGGCTACCGGCTGGTATGCGGACCCACACCTGAACATACCCTGGCCGCCTTGAGTGGCAGCTGCCTCAAGACCCACAAGGAACTTCTGCAAGGATTCAAGCATCTCCGGACCATGCGAAAGGAAAAGAAAACACTTCTGCATGGAGGGGCACTGGCATAGCCGATCCGTGAGAACCGAGTCGATCTTTCCCTCATCCAAGGATGCATTGAACTCCACGAGGCCGTCGAACTGCTTGTAGCAAACATGCAAGGTGTCGCGAAGCTCCCGGAAATCTGCGGTGGCAATCTCAATCGCCTTTAGGAAAAGGTGTGCACCCTTGACCAAGCAGCCATTCACAAACTCAGCGGCCATCTGCTGCTGTGTAGTATTTGCACCCTGAGAGGCCCGTCGTAGACAATGCATGAACTTACCTGCTTCGTGCTCCTTGCTGCCCAGATTAGTCATAATACAATCCACAAACAAATCCTTGGGGTTGCTGACGCCTTTCTGCAGAGCAAGTGCAGTGGAAGTCGTCAGGGAAATGGATCGTGTCCAACTCGACATATGGACAACCATCTTCGCAAGAGGAAGAACTGACCCGGCTGCACAAATCGCCGAACTCGACAGCTGCAGATCACCTTCCTGAAGAGGATACCAATCCCGGGCTAACTCAATGGAGTACTGCTCGAATATCCCCTCGAAGTCCAACATCACCTTGTCTTCGTCGCCCTGGAATTCGCCCACGATGGTTTTCATGTCCTCGCTTGCATCTCCCTTGGTCAAGAAGACGACGAAGTTGATGAAGCCTTGTGCTTCGGCAGCCACGAGCAACCTAAGGAAGACATGATAATGGCACTGCCGGGCATGATATGATATGTTACTATGATATATTCCATAAGATTTCACGTGACTCGGGGTATGAAACCAGTCATGATATAAAGATATAAATGATGTAAATGATACATTATATGAATTATATGATGTGATTTACTGTGTAACCGCATGAATGTGTGTATTACGATGTTATTTGGTAGGATATGCTTCTGATAGATATGATCATATGACATGATTATAAATTAGTATTATTATTATTATATACCTATGATATGCTATGGTATGATATGATATGACCTGATATGATATGATATGATATGATATGGTTGATATGATTGGTAGGATGTGTGAGTGACTCTGGTATGAGGCGCATGAGACGAATCATATGATGATGTCATTCGTGATGAAACGATGCCAATAAATGACAAGTTTAAATAGTTCAACTTACTTCTTATCTCAATGAAAAGTAGTAGATGTCTTCACTGTCTAGTCTATACCCAGACAGTATTCCATTGATCTGGGGTCGCACATTTCAAGCCGGTGATGATGTCGGTTCACCTGATTCCCCAACCCCAGAAAATTGACTAATACCAAGATTCATAAGATAGCTCACTGATCAGCAAGCCAGGAGGCAAAGACAAGATTTCATCTAGCCACAAGAAATAAGTTGAAGTAAGTTTCGTTCTTAGAAGCTAACAATATGGGAATTAGAATAGCTTCAAACTCACAACTAGTTATGATATCACCCAGGATTACCACCCCATATCACTTGTAATCAATCATCTGTCTCCTAAACTTATCTCCAAGCCTGGAAAACCCTCAATCATTGAATCTCCGATCCGGCAATCTGTTTATCCACGAAACCCTAAACCCAGACCCAGAATGGATATCTGAGATATCTGAGATATCTGATATCGCTATCATCCAAATCCCACTGGCAAACTAAATATAAGTAGTATCTACGAATCTGCATTGTATAAATTTCACCAGCCGAGACAAAGATGAACCGACCCTTCCAAACAACACTGTCTAGTCGAAGGAACCACACAGCCTAGTCGACAGGCAGCAACAAACAAAGGAAGAAAGTGGCACGACTGCAGCCGAAAGAACGATCTGTTAGGAATCACGAACCACATGTAACAATCCTGATTCCGAACTCCGAAACAAATTGACAAGTTCGAATACTCAGATGACCAAATGAAATGCATTCCGGTAACAGGGCATTCTCACAAATCTTCCGGACCACTGCAGAAAGCTTCTCGTCGATCTCGGGCGCCATCTCCTGTAGTGCAGACCTTGTGGAAGCACTCGCCCAAGCCGCCATGAACTTAGTCATCTCAGCATGCAACAAACGGGACGGGGAGAACAGAGCTGCATCGCCGGCGGCTTGCCAAAGAGCAACAAGGCCTGGAAGAGCAGCTGCAAAGGCTCCGAAGAAGTCTCGCACACCCGTCACAACGGAGATTACTTCCTGGGCTTGCATGCCGATGCACTTCTGCAGAAGAGCTTGGGAGCATGGACTGAAGGCTTTGGCCGTGTTAATCTTTTCGATGAGCTTGGCCGTGAGATCTGCTGTCAGGCTCTCTGAGAGGATCGTGCTCAAGACCCCAAGTACAGCATCACCACATACGAGGTGAAACTTCCGAGCACAAGCCTGGAACAAGGCATCCCTCACCTCCTGCATCTTGGTTTCGACCAATGCCACCTGGGAAGAAAACTCCTGCAGGAACAAGGGCGAGGCGGTGTTCTGAATCATGTTCATCTTCTGCACAACCTCGCAAAGCTTCGCTTGCCCTGGAACCTGAATTGTGATCTCGGGAGCCTCGCCCTTCAACAGCATGTCCGCAGTGAAGCTTTTCATCTGAGAACAGGTAGTGATGCAGGACTCCAAGTCTGCTGCGAGAGCCCTATCACGATGCCAAGCCTCCAGCCCAGCATTGCACATCTGTTGGATGAACTGACCTAAAGGAAAAAGGGTCATGCACTCATGCATTGCGGCCTTTTTGTTCACCACGGACAACCGAGCACTTCTCAAGGTATCAATATCATCGGCATGCAGCTGGAGAGCCTCACCCATGCATGTGCATCGGCCACTTTCTTCAAATTCTCTATCTCCACCACGAAAGACGCCACGGAAGGATGCTGGGACCAGGTAGCAGACAAGGGCGATTCAAGGAAACAGTGCAAGAAGTCCTTGACCCCATTCGCCAGCTCCAAAGCTCTTGCCTTCATAGCCTGCCAATATGATAAGAAAGATTAATGCTAAGTGGGTATTCAACGATAATAAGAATAACAACAATAGTAATTTTATTTATAATCTGTATAAATAATAGTAATAGAAATAAGAGTCAATAATAGTAGTTCAAGAATAATGACCACAATGATAATTGAGGGACAGGAATTGACAATACCTACTTCTGTACTTCACTAGATACAATTATACATTATATTAGCAGTATCGGATATGAACCTATGAATGAACAACAACTCACAATAAATACCATACCTATAAGCCTATAAAGTATACAGGCTAACATAGGTATACCGGTATACCGTATACCAGTAGATCAGTATCTAACTTAAATATAATTTACCGCCAGCATACTAACCCACAATTGTTATCATTAGAATATCGAAGCTAATATCATAAATCATCTGCTTTTGTAGCCACCGGATGCCTTTAAAAAACAGACCTCCCAACCACAAAGAATTCATAGCCAACTAACAGCTGTGCACATGGGTCATGGAACTATACACTGATACAAACTGTGATGCTTGCTGCATGTTCTTTTTTTTCATCTCCGGTGGTCTGCAAGTGTAGCATGACGGGCCCACAAAGTTCATGGACCCATTTTGGGGCTGGATTTCGGCAACGACTCACATTGGGGATACAGTACTACTTCGAGCCTGGGACTTATGACTGGTAACTGATAACTTGATAATTGGTAACCGATTGATATTGATAACTGATAACACTGATACCTGCGATCCGGTGACCCATAACCCCACTTGACAACAATGATTCAAGACACTGATTATCGAGAGTTGCCCTTTTGATAAACTGATAACAACCGTTAAATGATAAATGATCACTATGATAATCACTGCTAACTGATAACTCTTGACAACTTCATCGGTGGCCGTGTTTCTGCTAGTTTAATCTGACTTAACTGAGCCGACGAAACTTAAATATGAACTGCAACCCATCTACTTTTGCAAGTCATCGCTACTACAATTTTGTACGGAGTTATTTCAAATTATTTCTTATCCTTGAATTCTTAGAATGTTTCATACGTAACAGAATGAATTCCTAGGCTCAGATTCTGTTACTTATTCTATGGGCACAGGCTAGGCATCAGAGCACCTGGTTCTTGGCTGCCTCTCGGCGAGACTTCTCTTCTTCGGAAATCGGCGGCGATGGCCCATTGGGGTCCGGCTTCTGCACATCCGCCGGGGAGACTTCCTGCTGCAAGAGTTTGGACAACGAGGATCGGAAGGAGCAAAATTGGAATTCAATGAGAGCACCCTGCTCAGATCCTGTGCCGAACATAGCGCCAATTTCCGCACACTGCAGCATGTCCAAGAAGCCCTGCCAATTTCCCGACTTGCATTCCTCCTTCAATGCCCGAGCATGGTACATCTGGTGCAAACTCCCTGGCAGAGAAATTCCTGCACTCTTGGCTTCATTGATACCCTCTAGCAGAGTGGCGGCACTTGCTTCCATGTCATGCACCGCTGAAACCACCTGGCAAAGAGCACCAACCTCGGAGTTTGCAGCACTGAGCCTCCGCATAATGGACAAGGCCCTCTCAGTGTCGGTACCGGAACCGGATGCCGTCAAGTCCCTGAGGAGCTTCAAGCACTCCTCGCTGCTTCGACCCTGTAGCTTCTCGGCCATTGTGGTCACCTTTGCAAAGGTAATGCTCATGAAGGAGGCATCACTGGCGAAAGCCACCTTCGTGTTGTCATACTGTTGCAGGATTTTGTCGGTGAGATCCAACTCCTTGCATGACCCCTTGCCGGCGCCTTTTCCTTTTGCACCGCGAATCTTGCTGCTCCCTCCAAACAGCCATGAAGCGGATGACCCAAACTGAGGAGTCGATGAGTCTGGCTGAGTGGTGGAATCATCCCCCCCTCCTTGGGCATTCACAGTCAAAGTAGCAGTGCCACCGGACAATCGGCACCCCGCTCCACTGAAAGTGGAGGCCTTGGCCACCTCTTTGCGAGGACGTTTGTTGGGTTTCGGGGTACCTGTCTGAACAGCATCTGTTGCATCCTCGTCATTGTCCTTGTCCTTGGAGCCTGACGACGATACAGCCCCCGAAACCCCCCAGATGCCGAAGAAATCACCGAAATCATCCCTGCCCTTCTTCTTGCCCTTGAGCAACCCATTGCCATCATCATCCTGGGTCAGCTTGAGCTGCTTGGTCAAGCTCTGGTGGACGTCATCCGCCTCATCTTGTTCATCTGCTTCGCGATCACAAACCTGGTGAGCTCTTACAGCTGCAATCTGGCTGTCCTGGGTCACCTCGACAGCCCCTACCCCATTGACCTCCCGCATGACTCCAGTCAGCTTTTGGCCAAAATGGATTATAGTCTGTCGAGGACCTTTCGTCCACAGGTCTAGTAGCCCATGCTTCTTCAACAGGGCTTGTGGCCACAAGTAACCAAGCAGCTGCTTCGTGGACACCGCATTGCGAACCTCGCCCGTCACTTGGGTCGAACGATCCGGATTTCTGGAACGACGGCCACCTTCACGCCTGCTCTCCTCCCAGGAAGTTAGTCCACTGTCGTAGCTAGCCTGATCCTCATCGATCTTTGTCACAATCTCCGCAGCAGACAGTTGTTTGAATTGAGGATCGCAAGAACAGTAGGAGAAGCAAGGCTGACAGAAGTTTGCCTGGCCTCGTCGCTTCAAAGTGTTCTCCGGAGCCGGGTCCTTGACGAGAGGATTCGGGGACGTCCAGGCACGTTTGCATCGGACACAAGCACCACTTGAAGCCCTAGGCATTGCAGCTCCTATCGCACTGTGGCGAACCAACTACGAATTACAATCTAACGAGAGGCAGCAGAGATACTCCCTATCGTGCAAACTGAGACACTCGAGCACACCGTGAATGGAAACGAGAACTGCCCAAGGTTGAGGAATCACTGCAAGTCATTGAATACCGATCGCCGATCGCCGATCAAATGACAGGACATGCGGACATGTAGAAATGGAACAGCATCACTGCCTCAGCACGATTATGAGTCTCATGAGAATTCGGGGAATGCTAACTGTTCGGTCAACTTCTGTCTTCGGGAATGGAATGAATGAAGGTGCCAAGCTCGTTCGGCGCAATCTGCTGGCTTCCTCACAACCTCTCGTCCTTGTCGCCATTTCAATATTTTTCCCCCGGATGCAAGGAAGTACTGCCACGTGCTGCCATAGGTCTCTGTGCTCAAAATAGAAACTCAGTAGACCTGGAGGTACTCAGGATGGAATGGCGAACAGCGACCAGTGCCAACATCATAGGGACCATAGTCATAGCCCTAGTATCAGTAGGACAACCAAATCATGTGCAGGAACTGAAGCATCGATCCTAGCAGCAGCAGCAATAGCAGCAGCAATAGCAGCAGCAGTAGTAGGAAGTAGCAGCAGCAGCAGCAACTGCAGCAATAAGGAAATGGCAATAAGCAATAGGCAATAGGTGCTAGTACAAGGCAATACTTTCGACTATGGCCTATGATCCCAAGATTGCAGTCCTTCGCCTAAGAACCTATAGTCATAGAGTCATAGACATAACTGATAAAACATATACAATTAAATCATTTGATATATCATAGAATCATATCATATCATATCGGCAGTCGAACAGCTGGACCTGCGAATGGCTTCTGACATGACATATATGATATGTGACATGTGATATGTGATATTTGTCATGTCATCCTATATATGTTCATTTCAGTCGTAAGTGCATTCGTTTCATAACTATTAACTATAATACGGCGGCACACCTACACCTAAATCAAGGTAGATCTCGCACTGAGACACCTGCGATATATTGGGGCATGTTACACGGTAAATGACACAGCAAGCAAGAAATCTCCAATGCGAGCCACGACGGTCTGCTATGTCATAGTCGTAGTCATAGTCACAGGAAGACCTACAGTAAACTCCTCAACCAACACATCATCCCTCTGGCTTTCATTAAAAGAACCAATACAGCAACACGAGTGCTGAAAACTCCTATTTCTCAACCAATCTAGTCTAAACCTCTACAAAACTACGAAGCTTGGAACTGCTGTCCTGTTCAGTTCACCTACTCAAAATATTTCGCCAAAGTAACACCGATGTCACCTTACTTGGCTGGTAGGCCAGCTGTGCCATCTGACTTCCTGTTGCCATGCAGCCGCCGAGCTCTGTGTATCATCCGCCAAGCACGAAAGCACTGGGCCCCATAATATTTCTGAACCTAGACTTCAAATATCAAGTATGTAGTTGTTGTTATGTGTCACAATCGGCTAAGCTTGGCATCTAGCAGAGGGCGAATTGGATTAGTGACACCTCGGCATGCGAAAGGACTCTGTTGACAATCCCTTCGTCGTGGGCCTAGATCGGAGAGCTTAGGGTGAGCGAATATAATGGCATTTTCAAGTTTCTTTATATCGATTTATATCTATATCTAAACGTGCAAAGTACAAAAGGATCAAATGCTAGGAACTGCCTCATGTCATATCAATGTCATATCTGACAGGCTGGGTCAGGCCTCAGAATGACACACAAACTCCTAGGAAACTTTGCATCAACACCCGAGACGAGGGAGGTCCACAACCTTGAACTGGCGCCTTGTGTCTTTGACCTGGCTTTCCGAAACAAATATCATACCGACCATACTAATTTCATAGTATCCTCACCTGATTATGGCATCATTTAAGTTTATATAGTTAGTTATAGTTATAGTCTATGTCTATAACTATAGACTATAACTATATAAACTTAAATGATGCCATAATCAGGTGAGGGTACTAGTTATAGTCATAGTTATAGTCTAGTCATATAATATAAGTTCTATAATTTATATAAAATAAGAATAATAATACCCTTCTATTGTTATTATTATGTCCCGTATGAATAAGTTTCACTGATATATAGAAAGACTTATCGGCAAATCCCTGCGGAGCTTATATCGGAACATGTAGAAACGGTCTGAGACTGTACGACCATCAGCAGTGCCAGAATCACCCAAACCACGTATCCAGCTCTTTCGGATAGGAGTATTTTAGGTCCCAAGCAGGCATGCAGTGGGCAAGTTGATGGTCGTACAGTCACCCTAGTCTCCGAGACCCCTGCCAATAAGACAGCACCACGTGCTGCACAAATCTCAGGCCGGCTGCAACTGGAAGCACGGTAGCCCAAGACAGAACGAGGGTCTATTACATATTTATGTTTTGTTGTTTATATTACCAAACTCGATGTTAATATGTAATATGTCATATGTCCATAGCCCATACCCGATAGCTACGTCTAAGTCATCGTTACATGGAGTCCAAGCCAAATTCATTGAATCCAGCCGAATTAAATTCTAGTCAATCTAGCCTAATTAGATTGAGTTCAACTTAATTTGATTTGATTTAACGAAAGTCAATGTAATATCAACTACTGCAGTACAGCATAATACAAGTAACATAATCATAATCTAAGTTCATTAATTTACTTTAAGTTAAGCACCTCATGACTCATAACTCATAACAGTTTCAGTTTAAGTTATTATATTAATATTCAATTTATTTAATTTTAATGTAACTGCTTAATTCAGATTAATTCATTTTCAACTGATTTAATGTAATGTTGTAGCTTAATTGATTTCAAATCAATTTAAATTAGTTCATTTAAAAAACTATAAATTACATCACACTGTTTTAATTTGGTTTATTTTCTTTTGTTAAATTCCATTTAATTTAATAATTTAATTTAATTCGTTTGCTTAATTTAACTTAACTTAGTTTAGTTTAATGAACTTGACTTGACTGTCTGACTTACCTTAATGGAATTTAACTTAGTCTAATTTAGCTCAAGTTCATTTATTTTAATTTAGAATATTCACTTGTTGCTATTTTACTTAGTGTAGTTTAGTTCACATTCTTTCAACCGAAGGCGGTGCAGGCCAGGCACAGGGCAGGGGCAGCGGCAGGGACAGGGGCGGTGAAAGGAGCTGCTTTGGGGGCTCGTAGTTGAACAGTTAGGGGCCGCTTAACTGTTCAACTACGAGCCCCCAGGGGCCTGGTTTGGGGGCTCGTAGTTGAACAGTTAGGGGCCGGTTAACTGTTCAACTACGAGCCCCCAAGGCCTGGTTTGGGGGCTCGTAGCTGAACAGTTAGGGGCCCCTAACTGTTCAACTACGAGCCCCCAAGAGGCCTGGTTTGGGGGCTCGTAGTTGAACAGTTAGGGGCCCCTAACTGTTCAACTACGAGCCCCCAGGGGGCCTGGTTTGGGGATTCGTAGTTGAACAGTTAGGGCCGGTTAACTGTTCAACTACGAATCCCCAAATTGCTGTTTTGTGTAAAAGCTATAGGGAAAATCCACATTTGGGGATTCGTAGTTGAACAGTTAACCGGCCCTAACTGTTCAACTACGAATCCCCAAACCAGGCCCCCTGGGGGCTCGTAGTTGAACAGTTAGGGGCCCCTAACTGTTCAACTACGAGCCCCCAAACCAGGCCTTTGGGGGCTCGTAGTTGAACAGTTAGGGGCCCCTAACTGTTCAACTACGAGCCCCCAAACCAAGTGCCTCTTGGGGCCTCTCTCGTAAGTTGAACAGTGTAGTTGTCCCCTACCTGTTCAGCTAAGAGCCCCCAAGAAGGCCTGGTTTTATGGGGGCTCGTAGTTGAACAGTTAGGGGCCCCTAACTGTTCAACTACGAGCCCTGCCCTGCCCTGCCCTGCCCAGCCCAGCCCAGCCCAGCCCAGCCCAGCCCTGCCCTGCCCTGCCCTGCCCTGCCCTGCCCTGCCCTGCCCTGCCCTGCCCTGCCCTGCCCTGCCCTGCCCTGCCCTGCCCTGTCGTAAGCGAAACAAAATTAAACAAAATTAAAATGAAGTACAATTAAGTAAATTAGATAAAACTAAATTAAATTTATGTCAAATTAACTAAATTCAACAGAATGAAACTAAATGAAACTTACGTCAAATTAATTAAAGTAAACATTAATTAATTAATATTTAATTAATAACACAAAAATTAATAATTTAATAATTAAGCATGACTTATAACTTATAACTTTTAAATTTATAATTTACAATGACCTATATTACACTATATTGAAAATGTTCTGCCTTGGGTCTGCCATGGCCGTGGGTAGCAGCTGAAGCACTCGCCAAGTCATCCACGTTCATGCCCCTCACCAGTAGCCCAGGATTTCCGTATGTAGATGACATATATAAGTTGCTGATATGAACATATTAATTGCTATTTCATTATGCAATTCTTGGAGGGAACACGAACAGGAATGACTCGGAATGACTCTTGACTCCGGAAATCCGAATGCTATCTCTCTCAACTGCACCGCAAGCCGGTTTCGTGCATGTTGTGGGCTGCCAACCCATCGCCTAAATGTGTGAACTGTTAGTTATGGATCGTCGCAGCAGCAGTAAGGAGCAGTGGGGCTCGGAGTATTCCTAATAGACTAATAGTCATAAGTCATAAGTAACAAGTAACAAGCAATAGCACTCGCTGCATAATAGAAAAGCTAGTTATAATAGTCGCGATAGTCTCTCCATATGGATAGTCTATAGTCTATAATTGTCTATAGTCTATAGTCTATAGTCTATAGACTATACAATATATAGTCTGTAGGCTATCGTCTGTAGTCTATATAGCCCATAGCCCATAGTCCTCTGGAGAGTCTATAGTATCAGTAATAGTAGTAGTAGCAGTAGTAGTAGCTGAAGTCGTAGAACTCGCATGGGCAGCCGTAGCAGTAGCAAATGTGGCAGCAGCAGCAGCAGTAAATAGTAGAAAAAAAATATTACG